TTCGAAAAAGAGTAGGGGTGTAACCCCGGCATCCTGGTCAAATTAGCCCATTGGCCTCTGCCCATCATGGCCTCCTAACCACCCCCATATCTGCTGATTGGCTTCATCACTCTGTCTCCTCTCCACCAATAAGCTAGTGTGTGGTGGGCGTTCTGGCGCAATATGGCTGCCGTCGCATCATCCAGGTGGATGCTGCACACTGGTAGTGGTTGAGGAGATTCCCCCCTTCTATGTAAAGCGCTTTGAGTGCCCAGAAATGCGCTATATAAATGTAAGAAATTATTATTATATGCAAATGTTGGGGGCGTAACTATTAGTGATCTCGACTGTAACGTCACAGTCGGTGTTATCTTCTGATTCGCCTATTTTTCAGTGGTCTTTTGCATGCACGAGATTTACAGGAGGAGGAAACAATGGTGTTTGAGGCTCACGGTATGTCATTTTCATGTACAGAATTGTTATTATTCAACTATGCCAAGGTAAATACAGTTTTCCATTCTATGGCACCTTTAAGTTTCAAAAAACACATTATTTTCCATATAATGTACATTATTGTTGCTCCTCTATGCCCCGCCTTTCCGAAACGCGTCGATTTTTACAAAGCTCATCGTTCTGAAAAGCGAGGTGTACGCTGATTGGCCAGCTATCCAGTGCATTGTGATTGGCCGAATACCTCAAGCACGAGATGGAAATGTTACGCCCCTTACCATACTGTGATGCCGTGTCCCGGCGAGACGAGACGAAAACCAATAAAGCCCATTATAAACGAGGCCTTTGTTGCATCCAGTGGAGACATAATTACTGATTATAATGACTTGCGTTGTGTTGCGTATCGCGCCGTGCAAACATAAAACCATGTCTGCATTTGTGATTGGAGAAACGACAAACAACAAGCGCTACTCTACACTGCTCAAAACTCACGTTTGTCAGTCATCAGTGGCAAATTCTTTAAATGTGAAAACGTACTTACAGGCTGTGAGTTAGAAGCTCCAGACTCTCCTGGCAAAGTTGGAATTGCCCCACTTTATAGGAACAGCCTTTGCGCACAGACGGCCTTGTACTCTCCCAAGTTCAGGAAACAGTCCTCCGTAAAATGCAATGCACACACTCGAATATTTGGGTTGAACTTAGGGCTGCACAATTAATCAAATTTCTAATCGCGATTACAATTATGGATGCCACAATTATTAACAAAAACTAGCATATCAATGATACTAAAATAACTGTCAAATATAAGTTATTACAATGAAACTATATTTCAGTTAATTAAATTTAAATATTAATATTATTAATTAGTAGTTTAATAATTAACTACTACATAAAAAAAAATGCCTTCGTAAAGGCAAAAATGCCTCTGAAATTCAATTCCAAAATTTAAAAAAAATATATATATATATTGTAAGTTCCACACTGCGGTAACGGCAGGAAATGTTCTGGAGAGTAAACTGAGGTTAACTGTAAATTCATAACCTGGACCTGGAATTCTATGAAGAACTGAACATAAAACATTTTGCCAACAGTACAGATCCTTGAGCATTACACTACCACTATTCCAGGGAATGTCAAACAGCCTCATGTCTAACCCCAATCTATTCCTGAAGCATCAACACATTGACGCACTCACACACAACATTATGGCAAGTCTGTGTGAAATGCATAGAGATGGAAAACGCTGCCAAAGACTGGCAGTGCAACCGAAGTTAACCAAACACACAGAGAGACACTGGTGCACATTTTAGCATAGTGATAAACCCAGTATCCTCAAGCCACCACTTTGCACGATGCTGCTGCATACTTCCCTCATATACACATGGACTAAGTAATGTAATCACTTATTTAGACAACCAGCACTAGTCTTATCTTGAAACTAGTGCTTTTCAAAGGCCATGTCCCTGATCTCGAGCACCAGGCAGAGCACGCATGATACAGACTTGGTGAAAGTGGACATCCATGTCACAATAGCTGCAAATGAGAGCACAAAGCATCTCTGACCTCATATTGTGCAAGGGTCCATCCAGGCTGTCGAAGCCCATCTCATAAGTGCTGTCTGAACTGACAGAAGAGGGGGAAAGGGAGCGCGAATTCTCCTCCATCTGCAGGTCCAGCTTCCCTGCGGTTTCGTCTTCAGAGTTTTCCTCGGATACAGAGCCCACGATGAAGTGAGAGTGCAGCACAGCCACAGCTGGAGGCTTCTTCTCGGTAGCGTCCTGCTCTGTCATTCTTCGGCCACGCTGGCAGGCTGCAAGCACTATATAAGGGAGAGAGTAGAGTCTTTAGTTCACATTCAAGTCAGAAGTTTCTACAGCAAAAAGGTTTCTTAATTAAATATTTGACTTAAATATATTTTCCAATGAGCAGAAGACATAAAAACAAGGATAATGATGCAAATGTGTATCTTTCATTTTACATTTGGAGACAGATATGAATGCGTACAGTCGACTATAAGAAAGGGTTTAAGTTGACTAAATGATTGGAGAAATGCAGAACACATCACCAAGAGACGTCTGTTGTTTCACCTTTTTGAGTTATGACATTTTAGTTAAAAACTAGATTGGAAAGTTTGTAGACAAACTAAGTTGGCTTGAAAAAGCCTAGCTAGAAAGTTTGAAAAGGTTTTTAAAGTTTGCAGTCTGAAAGTTTTTAGTTTGAAGTAGTTTGAAACTTAAAATAGTTTTAAAGATTAAAGTTTGAATGTTTTCAAGGCAATACAGTCTATCAGAAAAACAGATAGGTATAAAACATATTGCTAGGGTACCAGGGGTGGTTGCTAGGCTGTTTCTAGCATGATTAGAATGTTTCTAACATGATTAGCATGTTGTTAGCATGTTGTTAACATAATTAGCAAGTTACTAACATGTTGCTAGCATGATTCTAGCATGATGTTAAAAAACCACTTTAAAACCAGCTTGGGAGACCAGCCAAAGCAGTCAATCAGCTTAGGCTGGTTTTAGCTGTTTTTTCAGTAGGGAGTTGCTAAGCTTTGCTATAGCAATAGACAGCTTAAATACACCGTACGTCTTAATCTATTCTATATAAGTTTAAATAGGATTTCAGTAAGTTCAGTAACTTAATTAAAAGCTCAAAACTGTTCTTACAAAAATAAACAAATGCATAGATGAATAATTTATAATAAGATCAATAAAATGCATATAGAAAATAGGGTGAATTTCCATTGCATGTCAACTTTAATAAAAAAAAAAAAACCCTAGGACAGCTTTTTCTAAAGGTACTGGAATCACATGGTAATACCATAGTACTTGATTGCCATATTCATATATACAACACCATGTATACCACATTTTATGTTAGTGAGGTAACATTGTGATTTACTGTATACCAGATCTCTTATAAAAATTAACCATGGCTTTATTGTAGTAAAAGTGTAGTAACCATGTTTTTTTGGCGTATTGATTTTCATTTGTATAACAACAGTTTTACTAGAAATAGCATGGTTAAACTATGGTTAGTGCAGCAAAACTATGGTTATTTTGTGGTTACCATGGTTTAACTATAGTAACCAGGTTTTTATTGTTTGTTTTATTTGTAGTATAACCATGGTTCTTACTTGGGAGCCCCAATAATCTCTGAGTAGTAAAAAAACAGGCCAATGAACATTGGCGAGTCGAATTTGCATGACCAAACACTCCTCCATACATACAGATATATTTAAGGCGGTGGCATGTGTAGCGTCTGGACCAATCAAACACACAATATCTATTTTGTTAGCTATATTTAACAAATACTCTGTAACACCCCTCAGTTAACAAGCCATATGAGGACCTATGGACCCTTCCCCCGAAATGCGTAACACCTCAGGAGGGCAGAACAGGCCTCTGGTTCCATGGCAACCAACGCTGATATCACTGGGTTTATTGCCTAGAGGAATGCGAAGCAGGGAAAATCACTGCATGTTCCATAGCAAGAGGCACAATGCACAGTAGAAATGGACTTTTCTACTAATTAATTCATAGGAAAACCTTTCTTTGAATGAACACACATATCCTTCAGGTCATGGTGTATGATGTCTTTGATATTTTTAGACTATTTTATGCATGCTTATGATGGAACCCATTCCTGTCATCTTGCCTATATGTAATCCTACCATGTTTAGTATCTATGAATTCACCTTCTGATGATCTAAACAAGCGTGTATATTATATGTTGGTACATAGGCAATATATTAGTGTCCTGAGAATCTTTAGTAATTTCGATTCAAGTTCCATTTGCAAATTACCATGCCCTCACACAAAGGGTCATAAAAACTCCCCAGTATCTCAAAACTCCCACTTGAGATACCGGCCTTTCTCATTGGACAAGCCCATCTTGAGAGGCGGAAATCTTCTCCGACCTTAAAGGCCTCACACCATGTGACCCGCCCAGAGTCGGTGGTTCGGTTAGATTCTAAGATGAAGACATGAGCTAGAACGCTTCTGAAACCCCCTAAGTACGTGCCATAATTGTACAGTAAGAAAGTTATTTCCCTTAACCAGGAAATTAATGTTCTTAGAATTGACAGACAGTTGACCCTGAGAGGTCAAGTAAATATCTACAGCGGATCTAAATATTTATAATTAATTATAACTAGTTATGATTAATTATTCATATTTCCCTTATGAGCTGATTCACTACACATGCATCCACTCATTCAGATTTTTGCTTCGGAGCCGAGTGTTGTATTTCATTGCAATAAAAAGCCATTCACCTTGAGAATGTTCTTCTGGACTGGCGTGATGGCACAACAGCAGGGTCCCCCTTATTCAGCGGTGATTCCCCTGGGCGCTTCAGTTTCACAAAAGAGCAGTTTCCTAAAAGAGAAAATCGTGGACGGTCTGTGTCTTTTTAAAGATGCCATTTTATCCGTGTCCTCTTGGTTGCAGTCATTTCCTGTCCTCTGATGATGACCACAATCGCTATCTTTCATATCTGGGCATATAGCACGCTGAAGACACATTTCGTGGATGGTTCATACCCGCACTGCGAGTGCATGACCATGGCAATGCTGCGATCACATCTCTCCTTTCTGAGAAAAGGACGAGATCCCTCTGTCACTACCTATACTAGTTTCTCTGGTCCAAGCAAGGGATCGCCAGCTAGTGCTCTGGGAGATTCGAGTGTTACAGTGAGAGCAAATCTGCCGGGCCAGTCCCCACGTATCTCTCACACAGCACTTGTCAAGTGCAGCTTCCAGGTGATTCTGCTAAGCCATCTCATGGAGGTCCTAGCGATTCATTTGGGGCTCCGCCACAGGACCAGACGTCGATAGCAGCATAGGGGGATGGGCTATCGTTATCTGAGGATGAAGATTCATCGGGGCTGCCCCCCTTGGGTGTTGTAGCTTCTGCTGAATCGGACCCAAAGTTGACGGCAATGCTTGCCCGGGCAGCCATGAGAATCGGGCCCCAGTTTCTTTCTTACCGGAGATGCATGAGGAAGTCACAAAGTTGTGAAAGGGCCCTTTTACAGCCAGAAGCCACTTGTCGACTTCCTCCGTCCTCACTACCCTCAATGGCGGGGCAGCAATGATGACGTTCCCCAGTAGGAGAGAGCGATTGCAGCACCCCATGTCCCAGGCCCCTAAATCCTCTAAAAAGATGACGAAGCGGCCCTGACACGGACAACCCAGAGATGAGGGAAGAGCACCGCTCCTTCCCCCGGAGAAGGGCCGGGTGGAGAATCTTCTGTTTTCATTTCTTTGTTCCCACATTTTCAATAATAGAGCAGTTTCCTCTTCCTCGGTGTTATGTGGCTCGTGGGTTGACAGTGAGCGACGCACCGCTTCCTCACTCTCACCCACAGCGCACTCTTTCACAAGTGGCCAAGAGATCACGGTTCGAGGACGCAACGCCTCCTCACGCATCTCTAGCCAGGGTTCCCCACTGCTTCACCACCACGGGTGTGTCGACTGTCCCTTTGGTGCCACTCGCATGGAGCTTGGGGGCCTGGCTAGTGCTAACCAACCCATCCCGCTGGCTCATTCATACAGTTCGACTTGGCTACACAATTCAGTTCGCCAGGTGACCTCCCAGGTTCAGCTGCATTCTTGAGACTTTGGTGGCAGTCCGAGATGCCCATGTCCTGCGCGAGGAGATTGCTGTCCTCCTGGTGAAGAATGCAATCGAGCCTGTCCCTCCAGCAGAGATGAAGCAGGGGTTCTACATCCCTTACTTTATCGTGCCCAAGTAAAGCGGTGCCCTTCAGCCAATCCTGGATCTGTGAGTATTGAACCGGGCCCTTCACAAGCTTCCTTTCAAGATGTCGATGTAGAAATGCATCCTCAGATCCATCCAGCCCCAGGATTGGTTTAGAGAACTCGACCTGAAGGACGCATACTTTCATGTCTCAATTCTTCCTCGAAACGACTTACAGTGCATTCAGGCTATACAATTTTTATCAGTATGTGTGTTCCCTGGGAATATACCCATACCCATATGAGGCCACTTCAGCATTGGTTACACAGCCAAGTCCCGTGATGGGCATGGCGCCATGACACACATTGCGTTACCATCACGCCGTTATGCCGTCGCACTTTCAGCCCCTGGTCAGACCTCGTCTTTCTAAGGGCAGGAGTGCCCTTAGAAAAAGTGTCCCGGCATGTTGTTGTCAAAACAGATGCCTCCAGGACAGTTTAGGGTGCTACATGCAATGGGCAGGCAGCCTCTGGGCCTTGGACAGGGCCTCAACTGCTTTGGCACATCAACAGCCTGGAGTTGGTGGCAGTGCTGTTAGCCCTGTGGCGGTTCTGGCCGCTGCTGCTGGGCAAGCACTTGTTGGTCCGCACGGACAACACTGCGGCTGTATCATACATCAACCGTCAGGGAGGTATACGATCACATCGCAAGTCGCAACTCACCTGCCATCTCCTCCTCTGGAGTCAGATGTGGCTCAAGTCTCTGCGCACTGTCCACATTACATGGGAGCTCAATCGTTCAGCCGATTCGCTCTCACAGCAGCTCACTCCCCCCAGAGAATGGCGACTCCACCCCCAGGTGGTCCAGCTGATCTGGAGTCGATTCGGGGAAGCTAGGTAGACCTGTTTGCTTCCCACGAAACCTCCCACTGCCAGTTGTACTACTCCCTGATCAAGGCCCCCCTTGGCACGGATGCACTGGCACACAGCTGGCCCCGGGGTCTACGCAAGTATGCGTTTCCCCCATTGAGCCTTCTCGCACAGACACTGTGCAAGGTCAGGGAGGACAAGGAACATGTCTTGCTGGTTGCTCCATACTGGCCCACCCGGACCTGGTTTTCGGAACTCGCATTCTTTGTGACAGCCTTTCCCTGGTGGATCCCCCTGAGGAAGGACCTTCTTTCTCAGGGCCAGGGCACCATATGGCACCCGCGTCCAGATCTCTGGAAACTCCACATGTGGTTCCTGGATGGGACGCAGCAGACTTGAGTGATCTGTCACTGGGTGTGGGAGACACTATCTCTCAAGCCAGAGCTCCCTCTACTAGGCGAGCTTATGCCTTGAAGTGGAGTCTGTTTGCTGACTGGTGTTCTTCTCACTGAGAAGACCCCCGAAGATGCCCGATTGGAGTGGTGCTTTCTTTCCTGCAAGAAAGGTTGGAGCGTAGGCAGTCACCCGCCACCTTGAAAGTGTCTGTCACTGCTATCGCAGCGCATCACGATGCAGTGGACGGCTGGTCTCTGGGGAAGCAGGACCTGATCATTAGGTTCCTGAGGGGTGCCAGAAGGTTAAACCCTCCTAGGCCACCCCTTGTTCCCTCCTTGGATCTCTCTTGTCCTGGCGGGACTTCAGAGGGATCCCATTGAGCCTCTGGAGTCAGTTGAGCTCAAGATCCTGTCTCTTAAGACAGTGCTCCTGACCGCGCTCACCTCCATCAAGAGGGTCGGGAATGCAAACCGGCATTTAAAAAAAATATTGCATTTGAATATTTGAGCTCGTAAAAAAAAATTAATATTTGAATATTCGTTCATTTAAATGACGTTTAATGAGAAATAATTTTTTTAATCAAACATTTTCGTCACCATTTTTGAACAATGTTATCAGGCTATATTCACAACAAAATATAAAATATATAAATTATATATCCAGTTTTTTTTTCCCATTTAAAAACATTAAACAATAGGTGTAAAATAAAACAATGTACACAAAAAAAAGCATTCCACACAGAGCGAACGAAAAAAACAACAACTATAAAGCACGAACATATACACTCGAGTCGGCATATGGTTATCGTGTTTGCATTGTTTCACATGTTCTTGTTGAAAGAAAAAAAAAACACCTACCCAAGTATGTCAACCAAGGAGTTTTTAGCCAGCTGCTCTTCTGAAAATGCCTAGCTGTGAATGATTGCGAGTGCTACGGCGGCACTTTGGTTGCTATGATACAGAATAGTAGGAGTGGAACGTTCAACTTACTCACGGTTCGGTTTGTATCACGGTTTTAGAGTCACCGTTTCGGTACGGTTCGGTATGTGCTATGTTTAGGTAAAAACTATTCTGTCAAATAAAAATAAACAATCTAACTACAAGCAACAGCACAAATAAATACAATAGAGTAAAGATACAAATAAAATAAACAGTGATTTTGAGTTTTTTTTTTATGTAGGTCTAACATAGGGCTGGGCGATATATCTAAAAAAAATATATCAATGATAAGATGTTTCATATCGTTCGGTATTGATAATTATTGACTTTATATATTTATAACTAAATATATATTTATATTTAAAACCTTTTTGTAAACAAAGAGCAATAGAATTTTTGTTTTTAAATGTAACCACTGTATTTTTAAATTAAACAACAAATATTTTGTATAATGTAGGGATGCACGATATATCGGCCACCATATCGGTATCGGCCGATAAATGCTCATTTTTTCTGTTATCGGTATCGGCCTGATAAGAAAATTTGGCTGATATCTTAAAGCCGATAAATAATGCATTATTTCCTTCAGAGACACTTCAGATGCACGCTGTTCGTTTGCAGCCTTTTGTGCAATTGTACGTTGTAATATTGTGTTTATTTGATGTATATCTGATTTATCTCATATAGAATGCGTTTGGTTAAGTTAAAAGAGCACTTCAGTTTACCAATGATCGTCTTTAGCTCAGCGCACGCAGCAGTGCACAACATTAATAACTATGATTGGGAATGTTGTGTATATAACATTCTAATGAGAACATTATTATAATAAAACGTTGTGAATTCTTTGGGTTTAGTTGCCGTGTTTCAGCGCGTTGTTATGGGAAGAGCGCATCCACAACAGGATCACACATTCTGACTATAAAGAATAATCGGTTATCGGTATCGGCCAAAATTTTCATATCGGTGCATCCCTAGTATAATGTTTTAACAATCACACACAAAATAAAAATTAAACAAATATCTAATTTCTAATGTTTTATATGCAGATTAAATAGGTCTTAAGGAAACTTTTGACATCCCGAGGCCACAGGAGGCCGCAATGAGCAAAACAATGCAGCACATTTAAATAGTCAACGCAAGGAAATATCTGTCTATAAAACACGTGCATTACGTCTAAATTAACAAAAAAAAATCAAATATAATTTAGTAAATTGCATAAACAATTATGAACAAAACAGCATCATGTATTTATGCATTGCTTAATCCAAAGAACCGAATCGCCATCTTGTGACATTTGTCCACTTGGATGAATCGAAGGATTTGACTGAGCCATCACATAATCTTGATGCCATCTTGGGGGCTTTACAATCCTTGAGCGTTTAGACCTCACACGGTCATCCTCAGTATCCATTCTAGCAGCCTCTCTGGCTCAAAGGACCATGTAAAAAATTGGAAAGATTCTTAGGCTGATTTG